CCGTGCCCTGTATGCCATCTCCGGAGTGCTTGTCTGTGCGCTTGGTCACAGAAAGCGTCCCGCCACAAAGCGGTTGCAAATGGTATCATAGCGATTTTTCAAACAAAAACGTCTTAGGTACGGTAGCTGGCGTATCCCATGAAATGTTAATCAAGGTTCTGGAATGTTTTTTCGATTAGGTGAAGTTGTACTATTGATTGTCATGCAGCATAATTCTGTGATATTTCAGTCACGCTAGGATGCTGACCTTTGAATGAACTCATTTGCCGCCGCCTGCAAAGGCTACACCCGGTAAAAAATGACTACTTAATTTTTAGGAAATTTTCCCACCAATTTTCGATGTCCTTATAAATTCAGATATATTTTATGAAAAACAGGCACAAAATATTATTTTCTGTTTCATTTGGTAGAAAATTACGTCCTCTTCGTATTTTATACTTGAATAAAAGGTGTCTTTCGATTTTAAGACTTCTTCAGTTCCCGAATAATCTGAACCCGACCTGCAGTTACACCTGCGCGTAGGGTTTTCAGACTACGCACTCCATACTTTTCATGTAAAAAATCATACATTTCTCTGTGCTACTAAGACGTCATGTACGGCCCATTAGGTTTTGCAATGGACCTGAACTGTGCTGTATAATTCGTAATCAGCGTTAGTGAACGGACGAATACAATGTTGTACGAATGGGAACTTCAGGGTTTTAAAGGACTTCATAATTGCAAACTTTTTTAGAATCAAACAATACCATTTCTTCAAGTGTGCAGTTCAACAAAGCCTGAATTTGAGACCAGATGAGTACAAGAAAAATCATTTTTGGGCATTTTTTCCATAAAGTGTATTTGAATTTGCAAGAGCATCGAAGATTGGTGGGAGAAATCCCCCCAACTTAAGTAGTCATTTCTTGTTGAATGTGGTTTTCGTGGATGGCCGAAAATAAGGTCATTCAAGGGCCGGCATCCTGGCTTGCCTGAAATGTTTTGGGACTATTATGCACGAGGATAAATATTGCATTAACACCTACTTAATCCTTCCTAGCCGAAACACATTTCAGAATTGAGCTTAACATTTCGTGTGAAATGGCCAGATGTTGTAGTCGGGCAAATCTTCGGAGGATTAAAACACGAGGCTTCTCGAGTAGGCAACAGCATGCTGAACGTGTTGCATTCTGGATATGGACCAGTCCGCTTAGCCATTATTGACCTCTTAATGGGGTAAAGGATGTCTCAAGGTTAACTGAATTGTTATTAGCCAGGCCCCTGTTTCATTAGCTGTTCACGCGTTATGACATGTTAGGTTATACTATGCCGCCGGGTGTTTTATGTTTAGTCAAACGCCAGCTGCAACTTCAGTTTTTATATGCTAACTTTAATCAGAACCCCTTTATTGGCTGTCGCTTGGCTAGGGTTATCCTATTCATGTGCCACAGACTGATATTGGTTAATAACTACAAAACACATTCCCTCAGTTCGAACAGGCGTTATTATGTCCTACATGTCTAGGTCCGCCGACTGCTTCCATTTAGAGGAACGGCGCAGCCCCAGTGTGTCACACTTCCCATCATTTTCACGACTAGCTCGTGGGCATGGTACTGCCGGTAGACCGTTTCACATCGCGTTTGCAATCAGCCACTTAAATACCATTTTAACTTCAACAGAAGCATGACGGATTTTGCAGCATGATCAGTGCCAATCTGTCAGGACCGATGGGGCAACCCCAACTCCCTCAACTCTCCTCGGGCATTCCCCAGGGCATGGGCGGATCTACTGGTCCTCATGGGTCAAATAGCGTCATTATTCCCACGCCCTACACACCCAATACCCCCAGCACGCCACTGCATGAACGGGACAGTGGCATCCCTCGTCCTCAGTTGCAGTAAGTGACTTCCTTTTTTTGGTTGTCAGCAGTTTTTGCAAAGTGTGGTAGTAATTAATGCCACATTCAGACCTAACTGAACGACTACTAACAGTGTTCGCGTGTATATGGTGTTCTTACTGCAGAATAAAGACAGCTAATTGGTGTTTCGAAGGAGACACTCAATAATGGCCATTTCCAGCTTCTTTACCATCGCCAAGCAATGTAATTTAATCTTTGCTGCCTATTTAGTTTATTTGGTAAGGATAATAGGCAAAAACTTTCAAAACCCTATTGATTACATGTCAGCTCGTTAGAAATTACTGGATTCTTGACCATAACGGGATTCTTGTCCATATTTTTTCGGTCTTACGCTATGTTAGATATGGCAAGCGGTAGAACGAGCCTGAAGAACACAACACCTTTGACTTTTGGTTGTTGTTATGTGTAAATTAAATGTGTTAGTCCTCCCGTGGGTTTATTTTCCAGTCTTCGCGTTTTGCTAGCCGGTGCTTTGGGGCCACGGCAAGGCTTGAGGGTTAAGAGACAAGGCGCTAAGACCGCCGAATCTTCTCTTTTATTTACCATACACTGCTTCCATTAATCTACACAAACTGGCTTATCATTGCTTTGATTCCCGCAGCTCATACCGTTTCTGTAAAAGCCCAATCTTAATGAGTATGCATTCTATTAGGGGTTTCCTGTTGATCATTGCGTCTTATAGCTGCCAGTTGTCTTTTCCCATAGATGCCGCATTATAGTCAAATAATTGTCATATGCGTACTTTGGTGTCTCCTGCGTAATACGCATGCCCAGCTGGAGGATGGAATGGTTCTTTCAAAATACAAAATGAGCGACGATAGAAAGATTCCCATCTATGCTTCCTTAAGCCATAGGATCTTATAGAGGGCTCGATGGCGTTTACTCTCCTTTTCCTTGTTAGTTTCACCAACTTTACTCCTAGTGATATATTGCCTCCCTTTCAGAAACATTGTCTGCACTGTATACTTGGGTTGCAAGCTGGACCTTAAGCAAATTGCTCTCAAAGCCCGAAATGCTGAATACAACCCCAAGCGTTTTGCTGCTGTTATCATGCGAATTCGGGAGCCCAGGACCACTGCACTCATCTTCTCTTCAGGCAAGATGGTCTGCACTGGAGCAAAGAGCGAGGAACAAGCTCGTTTAGCAGCCAGAAAATACGCCCGAATTGTACAAAAACTAGGCTTCGAGGTGAGTTTTCTTTCAGTCCCGGTACTACTTTATGGGTCCCCTCTTCCGGCCTCCCGTGGGCCTTTTTCATCGCCGGCCGGCTAGCCGTTTTTCTATGTTTGCTGGCTTATGCAACTTACGCATACAAACTTTCATAATAGAGAAGTTTGGCTGAAAGACCAAGAGATCTTCGGCCAGCCATACTTTAATGCCAGGCCCTGGGATACCTGGGGTTGGGCCTGGATTCAGGGAATTATGGAACCGGATGCTCCACCAGTTGGACCACGAGCTTACTATGCAGACTACGATAGAGATTGTTCAAAGCCACGTGGAAGTGCCACTTGCCCTGCTGGCCTGCGTGCCTTCCTGGGATCAGACCAAATTGGTGAACACAAGTCCCACATAACTGACTATTTCTGATCACAGCTGACGGACCGTGCCCATGCGGATGAACTTGTATAATGCTAAGATCAGTCACAAAGTGGACTCTGGTTCAAACAGCAGATCTTCCCGGCCAGATGTTGCAATAACTGCCTGTTGAGATAAAATAACCCAGAAAATGCTGTTCGAATCTTTCTTGTCTGTAATTCTAAAACCTCTTGATTGGTAATCGCTCGTCGCCGTGCAGCCGTCTTCAAAAGGTCTAGAATAGGCATTTGAGACAAGACAGAATCACTTTATTCCTTCCTACAACTAGGCCAGATTGACGCGTGGCATTCCTGCGTAACTTCAAACGCGTTTTTTAAATGTGAAGAGTATAGTACCGCATGACCTAAATATATTTCTTGCATTAACCGTCCTTTCTGACACATAGGTTCATAATATCGCACTTAGGTAAAACGCAGTCTCTTCTGAATTTTCTGTATTTGATCTCTGGATGGGTAGTGCCCATAGATGCTCTCGGGAACACCATCGTCTGCAAAATACCAGTTAATTTCTCTAGCTTTGCCCATGGTTTGTCTTTCGCAAAGTTTTGACAACTTGCAAGTTGTATCTACAGGAGTCCTCTGACTACTGATAACTTTTGCTTTTCGTAAAGCGTCATCATTATCTTTAAATGACCACTTTTAAGGCACACTTTAAGGAGTTCAAAATCCAAAACATGGTCGGGTCCTGCGACGTCCGGTTCCACATACGCCTTGAAGGCCTCGGTGTGTCTCATGAAGAATTCGTGACGTATGTGCTTTATTTACCTATTTTTTACATTGTTCCAACCTGACTTGACCGCTTAGCAGTAATTGTTCTTCATGTTACATGTTTGGTCGGTGGTACTCTCGACCGTATTTACTTCTAGAGAAGGATTAGGAGGCAAACGAAAACAAGTACTCAAAGTAGAAATTGCAATTCGAAATCGGAGACCTTTTGCTTGAATGCCAAGTTGTACACCTTCCGTTTTCTTACACTGGTTAATTATATTATTTTTAATAGAAGCGAAATGGCAATGTATATTATTTTTGCTGTTTTTCCTTATTTAGCTATGAACCGGAAATCTTTCCTGGCCTCATATACCGCATGACCAAACCCAAAATTGTCATCCTTATATTTGTCTCGGGCAAAATCGTACTCACCGGTAGGTGTTCCTCCCCAATCCCACCATCTGCATTGTTTGTTACTAGAGAAAATTCTGAAATATATACTTTTATGGTGTCGACGCTCACGCTCATTCCTTTGAGTCTCAACCTTAGGTTAAGGTCGTTGCAGGGACCGCTAATTTCGCAGTCACACTGTAATTTCTGCAGCAGAATCCCGAAAATCGCATTTGGCATCTAAAAGAGCAATGTTTTCGTTCATGCTCACTACTGTGCAAGTTGGAAGTTGTCTGAGATTAAACATTCGACAGTAACCCATCAAAAGCTGCAAATTCACATTCCCTGGCTTATGAAATCAGTAAGAAGCTGTCCAAAATAGCATGTCCAACGATGGACCGGCTGGGGTGGTCGTTGTTTCGTAGGAAACAGGTCTGTGTGTGAGGGTAACTTACGTGGACGTTGTCGCGCCTACTGGCAGAAATTGCTCTGATAGGCGTCACGGGCACTCAACAAGTCCCCTTATAACCCACCTGTAGTCTGAAAACCCGGTCGAGGCCCGACCCGTCAGATAGCAATTGCATGGGATGGCTCAGATGGTTTCCTGTGCTGCGAAGTGGTTGTTTTTTCGAGTCCGATAAAAGAACATTTGCGGACCATGCAGCGATAATACATAGTGCAGACGTGAGTGGGCACCGGCCTGACAAATGCAGTTCCAAGATCACAAGTCACGACAAAATTACGACACAAGTGTCGCCTGCCATTCAAGAGGGCTTCGCCCGCTGTTCGAGACAGTTTTGGAACCTTAATCAGGTCTAGAAGAGGGGTGAATGGAGACGTCCAGCATAGAATCCAGGAATCACAGGGAACCATTTGAACGGTCTTGTGCAACCGCCATCGGACGGTTCAGGACTGGACGGAGTTTTGGGACTACCGAGAAGGCTACGATCTATGGACTTTGGTTTGACTTGCCTAGTGCCCGTGACGCCTATAGGAACCACTTCTGCCCAGCAACGACGATAACAGCAACATCCATCAAGTCATGGCGGCGAAAGCGTTCTGATACCATTTCTGTGTTAGGAAACTTATTTTTACATCAATACTAAAGGCATTGATGTAGGCGATAATTACAGCCTTAAAAAAATCAAGCTGTTCGAGCTATATCCCGATGAATTCGAACGAATATCCTGTAAAAGTAGTCAACAAGGTTCACGTAGTTGAGCTAAAGCCGCTGCGGGATTATTGAGTACCGCATCGGACTTTGAAGACGTATATTGTCTTAGCATACCTTGACCTTCGACTATTGAGCAATGGACCCTTGTCTGTTCCTCCTCATGTCGCTTGAACGTATTTCACTTAAACGCGCTTTCCCCATTCGCTAACTCAACGGCAGGTTGGGACTAAAAAGCCATGGCGGTATTTTTTTTAACGTCGACAAATATTACTTCTTTCCGGGATGTTCACTTTTCATTGTATACGGGATCTAATTGCCTTACCTTTTACATCGTTTATCATTAAGTGTACTTTCTTTTGTGAGAAAAGCCGTCTTGTTTGTTGCAGTTCGGTCGAGATTTTAAGAAACCCTAAGCACCAGACCTCTGTCTGCAACTGTTCACGTTGACCTCATTCTTTGGAACGTCGGCGAAAGATGGCCAAGCCTAGGTAAACTCTGCTAGGTCCATCTTTCAGGCAAGTTAAGCGTGAGCACAAGTAGTCCGACGCAACAGTGGGGCTTTGTCTCTAAAATGTTCATTTAACATCGCCTCCGCGTTCCGTTCTACGTGACGGTCCGGGAAATAAGTCGTTTGTCCGGTACAGATTTGATCTGAGTCCCGAGGATCGATTCATCTGGGAATGCCGTCGACCATAGTCCCTGGCTTAGAAGGTCGAAATTCCTGACCCACAAAGTGGTAATTCGTAGACTTGGACATTGGGCGGTTTTACGACCGAGTTTCGCTGCGTGGATAGTTTATCCTTTAAGTTCGGATTTGTTACCTGGGCACTGCAGCAAGATAGAAATGTTTTGTAGACTTTTCTATTCAAGATAGTTTTATCCAGATATCTTGTTCAATACCTCTGGATCAAGGATGTTGCTGACTTATAGTTATTTGAATGTCGTATTTTCAGGCACTCGACCTAAACAAAGGATTGTTCAAAAGTACTATACCTTGCCGTAGCGTGTTTAAAACTATGTTGTTTGGAATGCCTTAAGGAACAACTGGACAGCTCATTAGCGAACAGGACAGTTTGAAACATCAGATGATGGCGGGTGTCCCAAGGCATTTTTAGGCTCAGTTTTAGCCGCTCTAGTGTGAAATCTACTCCGAAAATGGGCCTGACAAACGGCTAAAAGACTTTTGAGGTATTGCTGATTGGAGTATTTTTTGGCAAGGGGAGTGGATTAGACGCTTATTTAGCTTATTTTCATCCGGTCTCACGTCTAAATATGTGCCCGATTATCTTAAAGAAGCTGTTAAACATATTGACTGGGGTCTATCATGTTTATGTTTTGGTGGATTCTTTGAACTGTGGGTCAGGCTATAAGCACCATCATTACTCCATAACGACCATCCTCAAGGAGGTTGATAATGTGAAATTCTCTCTCCTCCTCGCTTCCCTTTTCAGGCGCTAAAGTCCGCGAGGAAATCTACGAAGCCTTTGACAACATTTATCCCATCCTTAAGAGCCTGATGAAGGTCGACAAGCCCAAGGGGCTGACATCCGTCCACTCCGTCGCGTCCGCCGACGTAGACTGAGAAAATTTGTTCTCCACTTCTTTTCACAATTCTCACCTTCTTGAATTTACCCCCTTCAAGACATTTTCCCCATCCAACACTGTTTTCCCAGACTTCTTATACGCACCGGGTTACCTCATGTAAAGCATTACGTTTTTACTAATTACGATCTGCTTCTCGGAGTGGGAGTTAGCGCACGTTTACAAGCGACGTAGGGTTGGGTAGGACTACATGATGGTGAATGACCGTCTAACCAAAAAAGACGGCAGTTTTGGGCTATTTGATGAAGTTTGCAGCATTATTGGCCAACCGGAGGTAATTAATATTAGGAAGAGGCGATCCGGGAAACTGCCTGTTTGCTGCCCGGAGGCTCCAGAAACATGCAGTCTCTTTGCGACTTGAGGTTTGATGAGTACCGCACCGTCCGGTACTTGATGTCGTGCGAGAGACAGCTTATATGGCAATACCGAGGCGGTGACGACTGTGGCTGGCGCAAACGGAGGTGCCTTTGACAGTACCGGGGCATATACTTTGTCCATCATAAACGTTTATGATGTTTGCTAACACCAGACCGGCGACGGCCCTACCCTTGGCGTCACGATCGGGGGGGGGGGAATTAGTTGCCGCCGCGACAGCCATCGACCGTCAACGGATTGCATAGGGCCTCGTGCGACCACCACCCCTGAGGGACTGGGTCACCATACCAGTCTCTTATCTGACGTGGAAACGAATGGCTGTCGAATGTCCTCTACATGTGTGCTCGATGGCACACATTCACTCAGTACTCGCTGCCTCTTAAAACCAGCACAGGACTCAGGCTTCCTGGTCACTGTCGTTTTTCCGTTTCGTTCTAAAGGCGAGCCTAGGTCTTAAATCCTGTCAACGCAACACGACATGGATGAAGATTCAGCCACAAATTCCAGTCTTGGTCGCGGGGATCGGGATTCGTTGGTACTGACTGTTTTGTGCGCTTTGAATGAACTAGCTTGTTGTATGAATGTTTCCTTTGATAAGCCTTCCGGACCTCCATTAATTGAAAATACCTTCAATATAATATGCTCGTAAGCATCTGCCGAATGGTAACTACAGGGGCTTGCAGTTTAGCCGGAAGACGCGTAACAAATGCTGAATGTCCTAGTGGACGATGGACATAGTTGAAATGCAGGTAGTTTCCCCTGTCGAATGGTGTAAGAAGAGTGAATCGTCCTCTGAGGGCATACCGTTGAAAACTTGTGGTCGGCTGGGATTCCTCTGGTCGCATCTCCGGAGGGAGATGCACTTACTAGGCTTATAGGTATAGAAACTGAGGTAATACGTTTCGCCTTATAAATACTGTGCCGCTAAGGCAATTCAGCGAACGAGGAGCTGTGCGAGGAGGCTTATCTCATAGCCTCCTGGGTTGAGGAACGTCTGGGGAACCTATATCTATGTCCTTATTCTTTGCTCTGGCTGGAGTGGTGAGATGTAAGTGACCAAGAACACAGCTCCTAATGGTCGTTAGTAAACCTGCAATGGGTCTCCAGCGGAAGAGGGTCTCCTCCTGATCAGCCAATTTTTGGTCTCCATCAACAGACATGGAGTTCCACCGTGCAAAATCGATGATGTGGGGCGTTAGGGAATTCGCCTTATGCAGAAAATGAACAACTGGGCCTGCCGGTCATTGCTCTTTCAATCTTATTAATCTCTACAGAGGTTTCCTGAGCCCCTTTGGATGCATGAGAACCCACCTTAAAGAGGTCACCATAGTTGGGTTACCATTTTGCCAGTTTGGGGATACCGTAAATTATTAGCACATTTACCGACCTCCTGCTTACCCAAGTGCCATATCTGTCACAGGAGCAGCAACTTACCGTATGCAAACTCACTAAGGAGCATAGGGCAATTCGAGGTAACATACTGCGCCAGCAGCTTGTTAAAACTGACTATGCATGAGTTTTGCAGCGGAATGTGTTGCCATAACCGTCATTACTGAAATGACTTGTCTAATGGAGATAGTTCGGGCTTGGCGAGCGTGGCCTCTATTACATGACAGGGATTAAAACCGGGCGAGCCTGGGATAAGCTGAAGTACCTGAGGAGGCCATTTGCGGTGTGACGAGTTTTATTTAAAGGGGGTTAATTGCACTCAAAAATTATGAATGTTTATATGTGGTTGGATGAGAGTTTCGTGAACGAAAGCACACTCAGTTTTCTGGTTGTCTACTGACTTTGTAAAACTGCTGATTCCGTGAGCGTACACATGCATAAGAAGAATTAATGTTGGCATTGAGAAATTATTCGGGTAAATTCTTCAACCCAAGTCGCGTCGCGTGTGCAAGGGTATCGTTTAAAGTGGAATTGAGAGCGTTCACGTTCACGTCTGTCGGTGTCGAAAAGTGACAACACAGTTTCGCAGGATTTAATAGGGGCCAAGGACAAGAGCAAACAGGGCAATAAACGTCACACAGCACGCATTATCTTC